GTCCGATAGCACGTGATGAAACAAATTCTCCCCAGATTGTCGTGTAGGCGCAATATACTGGGCGATTTGGGTGGACGATGGGTAAGCTAACCGTATCCTTTCTCCACTGAGCGGCTTCTCTTTCGGGTCAACTTTGAAGGACACTGTGATCAGTACAGCTGGTTGCTTCCACAGTAAAAGTTGAGATTCATGGTTGGGATGCAATGATCGAATCTACTGAAGAGACGATCTCTGAAGAGAAACAGTCTTGCCAAAGGTGGGATGTCGAATATGTTAAGCTGGTTTTCTGCCAAGCTTGAGGAAGAGTCAAGAAAAGAAATGAAGCTCGTGGCGCTCAAGTCATGCAGGACCTCTGAAGACTGTCTACATAGATGACAAAGCCCTGTTTTTGTTGCAACGGTTTACCTCGCAATTGGTTATGAATGCATTCTACCTTTTCGGACTTTTTCTAGCATTCCCAGTGTCTGGACACAGACTTTTTTCGTAAGCATTCTAATAGACACCCTTTCATATTCATAAGAAGGTGATCCAGCTAAGAGATGGTCGAACTTCCTCATCAATGAACAACTGTGGCTCCTTTTTCTTGATGGAATTGGAATTCAGTTAATTTGTAGGTCTCAGTCCAGGGCGTGACATACCAGGTTGGGCGATGTTTTTGCCCAGCCATGACGATTGGAAATAATTCTTACCGACTGACTCCCGAAAGCTCATTTAAAACGCGTTCGATGCGGAATCCACTGTGACGTTAAAGCACATCCGAATAGCTAGAATGCTCTTTCGAATGAATAGGGAATGGAGTTCCTCCTTTATTGTGGGTCATTTTAATAGGTGCTGCTAATTTCAAACGCCCGCCCCCCGACTCACAGGTAATTTGCGTGGTAGCTGAGAGTATTCCCAATTTCACTACATCGTTGGAGATAGTCGATGAGATAAAATTAGGTGCGTGTGTGGCCAGACAAATCGGGCCAACTCCGTTGTTCATTGTGCATTGGTATTGCTCTCCGCAGCGCGTGGTGAAATCGCATGGCTTGTGTAACTGCCCTCATCACGCATGCCGTATTCAGTAACGTAGCCACGGCAACCAACAAACCAGATGTGCCCTTATGTCAGATTCTTTCAGGCAGCTGCCATATCACTACCGTCTGGGCACGTGCGTACATGTACGTAGGTAGTTGATTGTGCGTATGCCACGTGACTTACCGTGTTACATCCCACATACTGAACACAGCGATGCAAGCAAGCATGACTGCGAATATCACACACACACACAACGCACACACACAGGCGCGAACTGATCTTCGCTTGGGTTGCACGATCAATAGCCAAATCGAACAGAAAGGGTTTCTTCGTAAGTTCTCCTGTTCTATTATATTATGTGATTGGCAGTTTCTCAAGAGCACACGCGTTCCGATCTGATTCACCGGATCCACTCACGCGCATGGTCGCAGTCTATCTGTCTATTTATGGACACCGTGAATTGCTTCCAACAAAGGAAACGTGTGGCTGTCAATCACTGCCGTCGATGACGTTTAGAGAACCGCAGGTTGTTTGCTAAAGGCTAGGCTAGTATTGGAATCTCACTCCTTCATCTGTTTTCTTCATCTGTGCAAAACAATGTTAGTGTCAACACTGCCAATAGTTTCCTTATTGTCAAGTGTCCTCGCCTACAAGCTTTGTACCTATCGTCAACCTAACAGCAAGTTGAGTTCAGCGCATTCGCTCGCAAAGGCACACAGTAGAATAGATACCAACCTCGGCCCTTCATGTTTCTTCTCCGCTTGTGATATTCGAGATTATGCACAGCGTCTCTCAGGTACCAATCAACCACATAACCTACAATTTTCCTGCATTTGTGAGTCTACCAGGCAGATTTATCCCTAGTAAACTAGACAAGTGCTTTGGAGCTACCACAATCAGCGTTCGCGCGTATCTATTCACAGCCCTCGGCACTCGACAGGAACAATGGTAAAGGGCATTACGACTGATGACAGGTGAAACAGGCCATGATCGCAGCTTTTGAAACCGTCTGACCGAGGTCCCAATGAACACTTGCTCTCGTCACAACTAGCAACTCTGATTAGAGCCAGGAAAACCACAACAGCAACAAAACACTATGATTGCGCGTGCAGCTCCCTAAAACGCCGCATGATGAAGAGCCTAAGGTTGACATGGAGCATTGGCTCTAAAAGCCACATGGTCCGATGAGCCGATGATTGACCTTAGCCGCCAGTCTATCATCCAGTACGTTAGCAAAACAACCAAGTCTTGTCAAGAGCCTGATGTGGCTTCAAACTCTTCTGCTGTGCTCAGCACTGTGGGCAGTAAGGCGTCTACACCAGGGTCTTCAAGATGATCCGCCACAGCCAAACGGTTTGGCTGTTGACTCCGTTAGCGTCTTCCCTTTTCTTGCAGACTCTTGTTGAGTCGAACGCACCTCAGGCTATACCTCACGTTTCGGCTTGCGCTTCACATCTGCAAAGTGTAAAGTGCTACTTCAATACTGGGTAGGCTCGAACTCTAGCCTCATGCTTGCGGATGAATCGATTGAGGTAGTAGACAAATTTGTTTACCTGGGCAGCTGTATCAGTCCCGGTGGTCTCGCGAAAGATGATATTTTTATCCGGATTGGGAAGGCTAAAGCAGCTTTTGTGAACCTGCGTCACCTGTGGCGTAGGCGTGACATCAGCTTCTCTGTCAAGGGTCGAGTTAACGATGCCGCGATGCGCTTCATATTACTATATGAATCAGTGTTTGACCATGGATGTCTTTGGAGCATTGCCCGAATC